CAGTATGACTAGATTGTCTGGTACGCTTTGGGGCAGCGACAATCCAGTATTTTTGTACGAGATTTTCTTTTGTTTAGTGGTAACAAATTCACCTTTAAAAACAAGACTGTTGAACTGAGACAAGTGTGCATTAAACAAAACCCTCCTGTAGGCCAAGCTTAGCCTGAGAACTACCTGTTTGCAAAGACTATTGGTTTTTATCATTGCATGTAATTTTCAATTTTGTCCTAAACTCTCCAGGCTTTTGAAGACACTGTGAGTTTTCTTCTTTTTGTCTGCTTCTTTTTCTATCATCAGTGGCAGTAGTCCTTGTAGACAGATTTTCTGTGTTGAACCATTACATCACGGGAGAGCCAAGAGAGCTTGGGAGGCTGAATTCTTTCTATGGGAGCCATCGACTGCTTTTGGGTGGGCTCCAGAGTCCATTAGAAGGTGGGAAAAATAGCTGGTTCTTGGTCTTTCAACTTTAATGATCACTGACTCTTTGTATTTTCCATCTTTCTGGTGATGTTTGTTTTCTTTGCATATTAATATGTCCCTGAAGAGAATGCTTAGATCTGAGAGGGAGCAAGTGTGGGTAGCGGAAGGAACATACAGCGTTCCACTACCTTAGTCTGCCCAGCAATACACAGACGAAACTAGAACCCCACAGGCCTCCTCTGCATACCCCAGACATCCAGAGACTTTGGCTCTTTGTTTCCCAAAGATTATAGGATTAGAGTAACTGGTCACCTCAGACCAGACTATAATCAGCTGCACTGCTGAGGCTGGCTGGATTCTGCATCAATGGTGAGTGACCAGCAGAGAATTTGGTGCCAGGCCTGTATGTGAGTGTGAGTGAGTCTAGTCTGTTCTCAGAGCTAACCAAGGCAGCTTTGAGTAGTAATAAGCATTTTAGAGCTTTGGACTCTGGCCTTCACTAAATGGAATTCAGAGGTGATGAGTTTGTATTTTGGGTATGTATATCTGCCAATAGCCTTTCACGCAAATTCACCAAATACCATCACCTCCTAAGGCAGCGGTTCTGAAATTTGAGCATAGATCAGAATCACCTGGAGGAGTTTAAAATCCAGGCTTCTGGCCCTGCCTCCTGATTTTGAGTCAGGAGGTGTAGGATAGGTCCCATAATTTGCATTTCTTGTGAGTTCCCAGATGATAGCAATGTTGCTGGTCCAGGGACCACACTATGAGAACCTCTGTTCTAAGGAATTGGCAAAGAGGTGTCTAAATCAAGAAATGCTTATCTTTCCATTACAGTTGTTCCTTGAACAATGCAGAAATTAGAGGCACTGACCACCCATGCAGTTAAAGATCAGTGTGTAACTTTTGACTTCCCAAAAACTCAGCTAGTAATAGCCTACTGCTGACCGTAAGGCTTACAGATAACATCAACACCCAGTTAACACATATTTTGCATATATATGTATTATACACTGTATTTTTAAAATAAAGCAAAGTAGAGAAAAGAAAATGTTATCAAGAATCATAAGGAAGAGAAATGTATTTATTATTCATTAAGTGAAAATGGATCATTATAAAGATAAGAATCTTCATTCTTATCTTCACATTGAGTAGGCTGAGGAGGAGGAAGAGGAGGGGTTGGTCTTGAGTCTCAGGAGTAGCACAGGTAGATGAAAATCCGCATAGTGTGGAGCTGCACAGCTCAAACCCATGCTGTCCAAGGGCCAACTCTACCTATTGCTCTTAACGGCATTCAAAGGCAGCTGATCCTAGTGGAAATGGAGTCGGGAAAACCTGAGTTCCAGCCCAGGCAGTGCATTACTGGCTCGGTGGCCTTGAGGGAACTCTGAGACACTTACCTTCTTAGAACCACAGTTTTCCTATCTGGAAAGTGAAAATTTTAATTCCAGGCTTACTTTCCTCACCAGAGTGTGGGGAGACTCCAGTGATCTTGGGTGCACATGTGCTTTGCAAACCTAAGACCCTCCACACAGACCTGAGGAACACTGGGAGTTTATTTTCTAGTCTCTCCTTCTCCTTCTCCTTCTCCTTCTCCTTCTCCTCCTCCTTCTCCTCCTCCTCCTCCTCTTCCTCTTCCTCTTACTCCTTTTTCTTCTTCCTCCTCTGTTTTTTGAGACGGAGTCTCTCTCACTGTGTTGCCCAGGCTGGAGTGCAGTAGTACGGTCTTGGCTCACTGCAACCTCCTTCTCCTTGTTCAAATGATTCTCCTACCTTAGCCTCCCGAGTAGCTGAGATTACAGGCATGAACCACAACACCCAGCTACTTTTTGTATTTTTAGTAGAGATGGAGTTTCACCATGTTGGCCAGGGTGGTCTCGAGCTCTTGACCTCAAGTGATCTGCACACCTCAGCCTCCCAAAGTGCTAGGATTATAGGCATGAGCCACTGTGCCTGGCTTCTTCTTGTTTTTTAATCTGATAAATTCTCTGCTGTAAGATTACTTAAAGGTGAAAGACCCCGAGGATGTAAGATCAAGAGATTCATTTTCATAAACAGCTACTCTTTTTTGAAGGGAAAATGTTGTAATTTCCTCAGACTCTAAGAATTCTTCCCATCTGAGAAATGGATTTACTCACTATAGTAGGCAAAGTCCTCAAAATAATGTCAATTCATAGATGTTCCTAACAGACTGCTTTCCTGTTTGTGTTGGGGGCGAGTTTTAAAGATTACGTGTTTTTTTTTTTTTTTTTTTTAAAGATTGTTGACTTGGAGAATAATTTAGCATCAAGGAAGAACTTAATTAGGCCAAGGCAATAAGTGGATGCTAAAATCGTGGAGAGCCATGTGCAACCTCTTTGAAATGGCTGGGAACTTATTTGCTGCGCATAGTCAGGGTTTCCTTCCAGCACAGCGGATGGAAACTCTCCCATCATTGGCTCCCCATTCCTTCTCTGATTATAAACAGAGATTTCTTTCCTCTGTTGGCCCAGCCCACATCCATGCTGGGCAAAACTAGAATGTTCTCTCTTATGTTGCCCAGGCTTCTCTGTAACGTCAGCCACTTGGCTGAGTCATCAGAAGGGTGTCTGGAGATTTGACAAGCTGTTACAAGTGCTGACAGTAGAAATTAAGGTGGTCACCTGGAGCCATAACATATCTGAATGTCCCAAAGTCTCAAGTTCTTTCAAGGAAAGACTAGAGAGGGTTTTTGATGCAATTTTAAGCTTTTGTCTAGTTTATGCCTTAACTGGACACTTGATTTCAAGCATGGTGTGTGTCTTCGCATACCTCGAATAGCTCAGGAAAATATAGTGTGTGTCTAACGTGAGCCATCTATTAAAAAAATCTATAACCAGATTGATTGTTTACATCAGCTAAATATCATCCTTCAACTCTCTGCTGTGGAATAGGTCATTTAGTTAAAGCTAGGGGAAAAAAATAACATTTGATCCCTTCTTCACATGATCTGTGCCACCAAGAGTCCCACATCTACAGTGTTAGCCATTCTGTAAATCAAAGATTAGTGGCATGACATTGCATGTGCTGTGCAAGTGCAAGAATTCTCAAGAGTCTGGAAAGAAGCTGAGGTGGAAAGAAATGAATTGGAATCATAGAATAATGGTGTGTTTCAGCCAGAAGAATGTTGGATTTTGGTAAAAAAATTATAAAACTAAACATCCAAGCTGGAAGGGGCCTTAAAGTCATCCAGTCAATCATAGAGTCCCTTCTGCTGTAGAAGCATCTCCCAAATCCAAGGACTTGCTGCTTTCAGGGGCTTTTCATTCCTTCTTTTTATTATTATTATTATTTTTACTGCATTTTAGGTTTTGGGGTACATGTGAAGAACATGCAAGATAGTTGCATAGGTATGCACATGGCAGTGTGTTTTGCTGCCTTCCTCCCCTTCACCCACATTTGGCATTTCTACCCAGGCTATCCCTCCCCAGCTCCCCCCGCGGCTGTCCCTCCCCTATTCCCCCCAATAGACCCCAGTGTGTAGTACTCCTTTCCCTGTGTCCATGTGTTCTCATTTTTCATTCCTTCTAATTATTGGGAGAGTTTAGATAATCACTCTGCTTTAAATATGTGTTTCCATTGTTTCCTAGTTTTATCCTTGGAGGTTGCACAAATAAATCCTAATCTTTCCTCAGATTGCCATTCTTGTAGATATTTGAGGCCATCTATGTTTTCTATACACCCCTTTTCTTCAATAAGACAAGTGTCTCTCATGCCTCCTGTGATTCGGTGTCCGTTTCTCTTACCATCTAATCATTCTGCTCAGATCCACCTATCTTCCTCTTAAACATACTTTGCATCAAACTGAATGCAACCTTCCTGTGGTCTGATTAATACAATCATGTTCTTTGTTCCAAAGACTTTATGTCTATCAATTCATCCTAAGATCTCATTGGCTGCTTTCAGAGTAAATCATTTAGGGTTCTTTTAGTTCTAAGTGACAAACATGCAATTTTAACCAGTTTAAGTAAAAGTGGGAATTTAATAGATCACATAACTGCAAAGTCAGGGATAGAACTTCAGGTATGGCTGGATCCAGGAGTTTGAGCAACATCTGCATGAGGTAGGCAGTTCCATAGGTATTTGCTCAACTTTCTAATGTGTTGGCACCATTTGCAGGCAAGATAAATCCTAGCCGTGTCAAGCTGAAATTGTTAAGGTTCTAAGTACATGATAATAAAAGAGAGTGGGGCCGGGCACGGTGGCTCAAGCCTGTAATCCCAGCACTTTGGGAAGCCGAGGCGGGTGGATCACGAGGTCAACAGATCGAGACCATCCTGGTCAACATGGTGAAACCCCGTCTCTACTAAAAATTACAAAAAATTAGCTGGGCCTGTAATCCCAGCTACTCAGGAGGCTGAGGCAGGAGAATTGCCTGAACCCAGGGGGCGAGGTTGTGGTGAGCCGAGATCGCGCCTTTGCACTCCAGCCTGGGTAACAAGAGCGAAACTCCGTCTCAATAAAAAAAAAAAAAAGAGAGTGGGCTCTGTGTTAGTTTGCTAGTGCTGTTGTAACAAAGTATCACACTGAGTGGCTTAATGAACAGAAATGGATTGACTTACCGTTCTAGAGGCTGGAAGTCTGAGATCAAGGTTTTCAGGAGGGTAGGTTTCTTCTGAGGGCTGTGGGGAGGGAGCTATTTTGTTCTTCCCTGGCTTCTGGTATTCCTGGAAGTCTCCAGTATTCCTTGGCTTATAGAAGTATCACCTTAATCTCTGCCTTCATCTTCATATGGCATTCTCTCTGTGTGCACATCTGTTTGTGTCCAAATTTCCTCTTTTAATAAAGACAGCAGTCATATTGGATTAGGGGTCTACCCTACTCCAGTGTGACTTCATCTTAACGAATCCCATGAGCAATGACCCTGTTTCTAAATAAAGGAAGCAGTGGGGGTCAGGACTTCAATGTACGAATTTTGTGGGGACACAGCCTCAAACCATGACAGCCACTTTTATGACAGTACTGCCACGAACTCCCATGCCTGCCTTTTCAAGGCTCAAATACATCACATATCTGTTCCTCATCTAATCACTGTGCTACCCGTTTTTCTCTGGAACCATTAGTAAAGTCAACACAGCCCAAACTACAAAGACTGATGGTGGGGCTGGAGAAAGGAGGTGATGGTGGAAGAAGCAGCGTGAATAGATGTCAGATGTGCAAAACGTGGAAAAATCAGTACGAGGAAAACTGAGCAATCCGGTACCCATGTCCTAAGACCCAAGCAACAGCTAAGGCTCCAGAAACAGGAAACATAAAGAACACTCTTGACTTTATCTCTTTACAAAGAAATTGCTTGTTTGCTGTCATAAATCAAACTAGAAAGTTGAGCTGCCAAACTGTTTTTGGTTCTTACAACATCATGGAAGCCGCTTGGCTCCTGGTAGCTTTGTGTTTTGCATTTATTTCTTTTCATATTGGAAGATTAAAACAATAGCTTCTGGTTATCATCCCACATATTATTGATTAAAATCCTTGCCCGAAGACCTTCCATCTCACTTTTCAGTGTGGTGTGATTTACTTTTCTTTTTACTCCCTGTAACATATGATTAATGCTGATCTCAGGAGTCCCGGCGAGATGAAGCTGGGTGTCAGGTACGATTTGTCAGCTTGGAAGTATAGATTATTTTATGTTTCTCGAACTTTGTGGCCAAGGGAACACAGCTCTTGATTGTTAAATCCATCCACACTTTCCCCTGGGCTATGAAATGCCAGAAACATTAAATAGCCCACTTAATACATAACCTCATTCTGTATGCTTGACTATTTTGTTTTTAATTTTTCTTCCCTTTCCCGGCTGCTCACATGAAATGGGATCAAAGAAAAAAATTATCCTCACTGGATTTTGTTAAAATATTAATAGGTTAGGGTTGACTGGCTAAATTGAATATCTTTGCTGATCTCACTTGCATGTTTAACTTGTGCTTAGGAAAATATGTTTCCTAGGTGATAACCTTTTATGTACCAGCCTGACTTCATTGAAATGCATAGAGATAAAAATATGTCACGCTCAGCGGCTATGCTATTCTTGTGTGGCACTGTGATTATTCAGATGGTAATTGGCCCCCACCTGTAGACAGCTCCGATTCTGTAGTCAATCATTTCATTTGATGTTAAAATATGTGAAAGCACAATTATATAATTTACATTACAAATCATGTTGAATGCCAGGGGTCTCTGAACCGCTGACAAATGCAAAGGAATCAAGGGTTGCAGGGAGAGAACTCAGGTCAATAAATGAAGTGAATTACATTGGGCAAGGGGTTCAACTTTTCTTATTTGTGTTCACAACAAGAGCTTTTGTGCATGTGTCATTGAGAGAGTGCCTATGGCCTTCTCTCGGCACTGCAAATGGCAGCGTTTTAGATGCCTTTCTAAGGATGTCTGCCCCTTTCCTTGCAAAGAATTGCTCCTTGTGGCCTCCCGTTAGGTAAAGAAGTAAAGACTTGTCAAGGCCAGAAAGGGAAAGCTGATCTAGTAAAGCAAAGATGGCATCAAGTCTGGAAGGTTGCAGTAGCTGGTGGATGCGGAACCCAACACAGGCAGGGGTGGTAGCCTTGTAAATTAGGCTTGCAAGTTTCCAGACTCCGGATCTCGGCCATCAGACTTGACGCTTGCATGAATAGTGTCAGGAGTCATGGCTGCTACTTATCTAGCTTTCAATGTGTGTCCAGTACTGGGTTAAATATTTTACATACATTACTTCTTCCACTCTCACAACATCCATGTGAGGTAGTTCTGCTGTCATCCCTTACAGATGAAGAAAATAAGCACAGGGGGTTCATGGGGCTTGCCCAAGGCCATTTAGTAGGAAGCTGCGATCGAGTCTGCAGCCCTGGGCAGTTGAGCACCAGGCGCTCACCAACTGAGCTAACCAGCTACTCAGGAGGCTGAGGCAGGAGAATTGCCTGAACCCAGAAGGCGGAGGTTGCGGTGAGCCGAGATCGCACCATTGCACTCCAGCCTGGATAACAAGATGGAAACTCCATCTCAAAAAAAAAAAAAAAAGGAAAGCTGGGAAAGTAGGAATTGGAACCTAAGTCCTTTTAGTGACCGAGTCTGGGCTGGTGGTCACTGCATTCTTCTGGATCAGGCATCAGATGCTTAGTGACAACACAGGACCAGGAAATGCACAGGACAGGGCCTCTCCCTTTGTGGGGTTTGCAGGAAAGCAGGTGGGCTGATCATAGGTAATGGGGATCCTAGGTAACGGCGGCCCAAGTAGGAAACTCACCAGTCATTGGGTTCTCGATGGAGATGGAGTATCCACTTCTGTGACGTGGGGTCCAGCCCTAGAGATTGCAGATGAGCAGGATTTCAAGGGCTCCTGTAGGCCAGAAGAGGAAGCATGGTTATCTCTCCCTTGTTTGCATAATACTCCCAACATGGGAGATATCCAGACCCACTCATCCTCTTTCTCCGCCACATTCCACAGCAGCTGAGCTGGGAAGTCCAGGGGGCTTCTGGCTTCCAGAGAAAGTGAACTACTGGTCCAGGTACATGAAAGAAAAAGCTCTACTTCCCCTAAAAGTGATTTTGGACACCAAGGGCTGGGTTCATTTCTGCTGTGGACAACTCATCCTTGAAATGTGCTGGGAATCTTGCTGTTCTGGCTAAGAAATGCTGCTTTGCTGCCAATGCCCCTCGCATGGTCATGAGCTGGCTTCAGAGCAACCCCCCCCAGTAGTTCTTGTGAAGAGCACGTGATGGGCTCCATCTCCACAGCAGGTGCCAACCTGCGTCAGCCACCATCATGATTTCTGCCGTATCGTGTTCTCCATTCCTCCTAATCACTTAGCATAATTGTTAAGGACACAGAGTCTGGAAACAAATGCCTAGGTTCAAAACTCTGCTCTGCTGTCTGCTGGCTGTAAGATCTAGCCCAAGTTAATCTCTTGTGCCTCAGTTTCCTCATTTGTAAGCAAAGTAAACAATACCACCTGCCATGCAGCCTTATTATAATGATTAAGGGTTAAAAAGCAGAGTATTTAGAACAATGCCGGATATATAAGATTATATGGAAGTGTTAAAAAATTATTTCTTTCTTAAATGAGAATTATCTTTTTTACCCAGTTATGTGATATATGCAAGTTACATTCGTTTATAATAAACCTTAAAATAAACAATATAACTACTAAATATTGTTTTGAATTCTGTTCATGGATTCCAAGGGGACTGAACACTGCACTCTGGGAAGCTCCAAAGAGTCAAGGTCAAAGCTCTTGCCCAGGCATTCAAAGCCCTTCACGCATTGTTCTCCCACAAACAACTGACCAGGTAATTTATGCTCTGTTGATTTGGATAATTCCAAGAAAAACCTCAGTTGTTTTGTTATTTTTACCAGAGGCAGCATAGCCTAGCGGTTATGCACACAGGTCTAGAGTCAATGACATGGGGTCGCATCCCAGCTCTGTGCCACCTTAGCTGTGGAATATCAGTTACTCCTCCTCTCTGTGTGTCTCAGCTTTCTCAACTGTAAAATGGAGATAATAATGGACTCCACCTCATTAGAAGGATTGAGACAATTAAAGGAGTTAGTTCATGAAAGTTCTTAGCATCCTGCTTGGCCAAATTGGAAGTTCCTTAAATGTGAGCTAATTAGGCACTGGTATTACAGTCACATTTACATGTTAAATAAAAGTCATTAAGCCTGCCTATTGGACCAAAGAATGAAAAGGTGGATTTCACGCCCAGGCTGTGGGACTATTTTAGAAGCTCCAAGTGTCTTTCCTCCCCACTGGAGACTTTGCTGCAGAGAGCTGGGAATGTGGGGAGGGTGACCCAGGATTGAGCGGGCCATTTCTCCACTCAATCAGAAATTCCAGCAGCAGAAATCATCCACTTGGTGAATGAGCCAGACACCCTGGCCAGGGATAATTTCCCAGACATTTTCCAGATACTTATTTTGAAAGTGAATTGAGACATTATCTTTAATTAAAGTGGCAATCTGCCCCCATGAGTTTTCCTGTCCCTAGATGCTTAAATAATGGCCTCTGTTTGGTTCCCTCTCTGCCTTCCCTTCCTCCTATTAATTTCAAGCCCATCAGAGGGCCAGTTTACTAAATTGGTTTTAATGGAAATTTAGCCAACATGAATAATAATGAAATGTAAAATTATTCCTTAGCTAATGAACAGCCAGTGGCTTTGGGGTTAATTGTTTGCTTCTGGTGTCAGCTTATTTATATTGAAATAGAATTGTAATAGGACTCTAAACTAAAACTGTTTCATCTCCTTGATCATCACTTACCTTAGGGTTTATTCTTTATCATTAGTCATTGTTTAGTAATCACTCCCACTTTGGATTCACTCGTGAATTAATTAATTACCTAGTTAAACTTGAGTGCTTTTCCTTTTCTTTAAAAAATAGAAAACGTGTTTTCTCACCTTGTTATCTACAGATGGTACTGTGAAGGAAATATTAACAGTAGGTAGTGACAGTGATATTTCCTGCTAGCATTGTGCTTTTATTCTAATGATAACCACATGCACTGTTTTAGTCATTTCAAGGCTGCTATAACAAATTACTGTAGACTGAGTTGCTTGAAGAAAACCAAACATGTATTTCTTACTTTTCTGGAGGCTAAGTCCAACACTAGAGTGCTGGAAGATCTGGTGTCTGATAAGGGCCCGTGTCCTGGTTTACAGACGGCTGTCTTCTTGTATCCTCATACGGCAGGGAGAGAGAGATTGTGTGCTCTTCTGTCTCTTTGTCTCTTGGAAGGGCACCAATTCCACTCACAAGGGCTCTGCCCTCATGACTTAATTACCTCTCAAAAGCCCCACCTCTACATACCATCACATTGTGGGGGTCAGAATTTCAACATAGGGATTTCGGGGGGATACGAACATTCAGAGCATAGCACACACAGGAATACCTTCTCCACTGATCTTTCTGCCAACAAGTCATCCTGACCTGCTGTGAATCCAAGGAGTTCTCACATCAACCATGGCTACTGATGGCCTCTGGACAGTAGAGGGCTGTCTAGACAGGGTTAAGTAGCAGGCAACAGAGATGCTGTCCATCACTAGAAACACATCTTCCTTCCCTAGTACTCAGTGTCCCCATTTTAGAAGTGAGGAGTTAGAGTTATGCTTCTTCTTGAACTTGTGAAGGTTCTTCAGGAGCTACTTCTACAAATATTGATAGATCAGTGGGACATGGAGGAAAGGGAATCATTCATCCATAGCTCTTCCTTCTGTCACTGATAGGTTCTCTGTGTGAGCTTTGGTTTGGAAAAATTAAGGGGGAAAGTTTTATTACACTCCTTTTTATTAAAAAAAAAAGATTTAAACTATGGACAATATTCAAGGTTCCCAAATTTGGCCACATCAAAATCATTCAGGCAATGATTTCTTAGATATAACACCAAAACTTAGGTAACAAAAGAAACAATAGAAAAGTTGGATTAAATCAAAATTTAAAACTTTTGTGCATCAAAAGACACAAGCAACAAAGTGAAAAGGCAACCTATGGAATGTGACACTGTATTTATAAACTATGCATTTGATAAGGAATTAATATTCAGAATAGATAAAGAACTCCTACAACTCAACAACAATAAACAAACAGCCAGATACAAAAATTAGCACAGGATCTGAACAGACATTTCTCCAAAAGAGATGTACAAATGGTTAATATACACATAAAAAGAAGCTCAACATCCCTAATCATTAGGGAAATGCAAATTAAAACCATATGGAATGCCACTTCACACCCATTAGGATGCTTAGTATCAAGAAAAACCAAAAAACTCAGAAAATGACATGTCTTGGCTAGGATATAGATAAATTAGAACCCTCACTGGGGGAAATGTGCGTTGGTGCAGCTGCTACGGAAAACAGTATGGCATTTCCCCCCCAAAACTAAAAATGCAATTACCTTATGATCTAGCAATTCCACTTCTGGGTAAGTATCCAAAAGAGTGGAGACCAGGGACTCCAAGAAGTATTTGCACACGGTATTAGTCCATTTACACACTGCTGATAAAGACATAGCCCAAACTGGACAATTTACAAAGGAAAAAGGTTTAATGGACTTACAGTTCCACATGGCTACAGAGGCCCCACAATCATGCAGAAGGCAAGGAGGAGCAAGTCACATCTTACATGGATGGCAGCAGGCAAAGAGAAAAAACTTGTGCGGGAAACTCCCCCTTATAATATCATCAGATTTCATGAGACCCATCCACCACCAGGAGAACACCATGAGAAGGACTTTCCCCCAGGACCCAGTTACCTCTCCACCAGGTTCCTCCCTCAACATGTGGGAATTCAAGATGAGATTTGGGTAGGGACACAGCCAAACCATACACTCATGTTCAACCACAATATTATTCACAATAGCCCAAAGCAGGAAACAACCCATGAGTCTGTCAACAAACAGTGATAAATAAATGTAGTATATACATAGACTGGAATAGTATTTAGCCTTTAAAAGGAAGGAAATTCTAACACATGTTTCTACATGGTTGACCTTGAGAACATTATGCTAAGTGAAAAGAGCCAGTCACATAATGACAAATATGGAATGACTCCACTAATATTTGGCACTACCCTGGGTCAAGTCTGTCTGAACCAATCACAGAAGGCCAGAAGAATGTGATGTTATGACTGGTTCCGATGCTTAGAGAATAGGCTAGAGTTAACTCAAGTTCACTTCTAGATTCTAATGGAGGTGGAAGAAGTCTCCTCTAAAATATTGGCGTTGAAACATGGGGCCTCAGTTGGGTCTGAGTTCTCTGGTGGTTGTTCAGCTATTTATGGACTAGGCAAGCTGGAATTGAGTGTGATTCATTCCACCTAGGCCTCCTGGTATGTTTGTGTTAGGACGGATTTGCTGAAGGAATTCCAAGTGGCCTCCGTGAATTCTTCCGACTTTCAGTTTTTCAGTCTATTCCTTATATTTGCCTTTCCTTTGCAGACTGAAAGTTTTACTGCCTGGTTTGGGATTCTGGGAAGGCCCTGGACTGGCCCAGGAGGGATTTAAGTCTGGTTCTGGATTTTCTGCTGACTCCCTGCATGGCTTAGAATGAGGCAGTGTGTTCAGTTGCTTTTCAGTTCAATAAAGTGTTTGAACCAGTTGATTTCCAAAGTTTCCTTTGATTCTTAAGATTTTATGATGTTATGAATTGACCACAGCACCCAGTCATTAAGAGAATGTGCTTAGGATTGAATGTGCCTGAATTTGGTTCACAGCTCTGTCATTCATTGTGAGCGTAACCCCTGGAAGTTACTTAAGTTCTCTTATCTTAAATTTGCTTATCTGAAGAATGGGACAATAATACCACTCACCCTATAATCCTACCTGAAAGAATTATTGTGCATGTTAAATTATAAAATGCATGGAAAACATTTAGCACAGCAAAACACCAAATAAATTACTAATGTTTTCAATTAGTTCACTTGACACACATTGAGCACCTGCTGTGCTAGGTGCTCTGCGTTATATGAACCATGTCCTACTAATGAGTTTGCAAGAGGGTTAGAAAAAAGGTTAAATGGTAGCACAAGATTAAAAAATGTAAAAAGTAGATCGTTTCTAATGAGAGGTATTTATATTAGGTTGTTTTGAATTTTTCTTTATTTGGAGCGGCCAGGATATTTTTTAAAAATCTTACTTTATTTATCAGTTTTTAAAACTGTCTAATTCCTAAAACCCCTGGAGGGAAGCTTAGCATTGACCATTTTGGAGTTGGCCCACTACTGTTATACCCCTCCTGGAATTCACTAGAAGGCCAAAGAAAAGTGCTTTACCTAGGCTCTTACTCCCAAGCAGAATTAGGCTAGATGGCCCAAAGCAGAAGCCAGGATGAGCCCTCTGCAAAGCTGCCAGGCCCTGTGACCTGTAATATCAGAGCCTGAAGGGGCCCTAGGGACCTTCTTCAACCACTTCATCCTCTAGCTGGGGAAGCTGAGACCCAGAAAGGAGACAGACCCCCAGCATTACTCAGGAATTAATAGCACGGTAAGGACTGCAATTGTGATTTTCTGATCGTTCATTTACCTGTCATTGTACTGTACTGTATTAAGCACTGATCCCTCCATGGGAGTCTCTGTGCCACCTTAACCCCCTCTTGTCCTCAGTTGACTTTCCATGCGGCTTTATTATTATTTTTATATGTACTATTCCTCAGTCCTGCTATTTACAGCCCTTGCCCATTTGAGTTGCATTGAAGGGTAAATTGTCCCTTGTTGGGGACCTTGACAGCACTGTGTCAGGCTGGTTGGAAGAGATCACTTAGGCTGGGAGCCTGTGAGTACTTCAAGTGACCACCCCTCTAGGCAGCACCTGTTATCTCCCACAATGCTCTGCTTCAAAGTATGACTGTCCCTGCCTCTGTCCAGAGTCATGGAATTGAAGGGTCCAAAGGTTCCCTTAGTAAGTATTTAGCAAGTTTACCAGATACTCATAATCATTTTCTCAAAGGGCACAATTCCTAAGTCCTTTCCTCAGAAGTTCCAATTTAGTAAATCCCATATAGAAATGGGGAATCTGTGTGTTCCACAGCATTGAGGTGACTTTAGGATTTGTCTAGCTAAGTCACTATTTCTTCTCTCTCCTTCCTTCACTGTAGAAGAGATCACTGAATCTCAAAGATAAGAAATACTATTTTCAAGTGTGTGAGAATAGGTCTAGAGCCCACCTACCTTTAAAAAAAATGTATCCTTCTCTTTAAAAGCCTCAGGGCAGACTCTACAAGGATAACCCTTCCTTTGTCATTCACGACCTTGACAGCTGAACAGTTCTTTCTCTTGTCTCACCTTCAGATAAGCATTGTCATTTTCCTTTGGCAACAACTTCACAGTCACCCCACCCAAGAGTCTGCTCTAAAAACACCCCCATGCCAGTTCACAGAGATGACTAACAATGTGCTTGGGAACAAAATCTCTCCTAAAATTATAAAACAAAAACATCAGCCTCTAAATATATCAACCATGATGAGCCTTCTATTTTTGATCCATTGTTATAGAGCTTGAGATTCAGAGCTCTTAGTGTGCTAAGCTGAAATTAGACAGTAGATATTAAAAGCAATTAACGTTCCTCTCTTTATTTTTATTTATTTATTTAAGCTTCACAGTGCAATTACTTAAGAGGCCTTCAGAAGAGATCCTGAGAATCATTTTCAATCAGCAGAATGAAAATGTCGCCTTTTGTGATTTGGCAAATAAACGATGTGTAGAAATAACTCCCTTATATGTCGCTGTGTACTATTCATTAAGGGCTAATTGCTGTGGTTGCTAAATGAAATACGGCAAACCGTTCCACCTCTGTGCCAGTTTGTTTAAAATCTGCAAAGCTTTATTATTAACACTATTTAATTATGAGAATGTCAGCCACAGAGAATTCCAAACCCACACTTTCCCTTCATCATTAGTAACAGGGCAAAAATGAAACACTTTCGACAATGAAGGGTTCATATTTCAAGCTTATACAGTAGCTGCTAAAAGGCTATACTCAGAAAATCAATTTTATTAAAGTCCTTCGAGCACTAAAGGGACTTGCATGCAACTAAGCAATTTTAAAAACATGTCCATGAGCTGCGACTTCTTGATTCATGTTTTTAGTGGGGTTATTTTTGAGTATTTTCAATATTGTCTCCTTACTGTGGGGTCAGGAGTGATTTGGGGTGGGGGTGAGCAGTAAGAAGGGAACATGTCTTCATAATTATTCCCTGCCTCAATTTCCATCAGACATGGGGATCCA